AAGCAACACGGTCTTCTAAGACCCTTGTGTGGGGCCAAGTAAAATCAAAGCTTTTCCCTGATTATTCAAGCCCTAGAAGTAAATTATTTACTTCATCCTTACTTTGGCATTTTTCTCACAGTTTTGTTACTTAAATAAGTGATTGCCAGAATTCTCTGATCATACACATGTAACAATAAAAATGAGCAAGTTTTACAGGGGATATTGTCAGTGTATTTTATTGATTGTTTATATCAACTGGTATGATTATATATTTATAATTACTCCATAAGCATAGCCGTCACTAATGGATAAGGAGAAGCATAAATATGAATGGAATTTTCAGTATTTTCCTGCTGCTGCCCATCTTTCATGCACTTTGTGGGAATACAACCTGCCCAATTTTGAAAAACACTAGTATAAAGTAAACTCATTGCTGAACAAGGTGTAACAGAAGAGGACCAAACATAGTAACAAGTAAAATCATCTTTCTGCACCACCTCAAACACATACATGTGTGCATGTATTTCAAATTTTCAATTCTAAATTTTTTGTCTTTAATTAAGTCAGTGTATCTATTGTCTACTCATCTGGGTATTTTCAAAAACGCAATCTAATGAAAACAATTTGAAGGAGTCTTATCTCAAACACTTACATTATAGAGATATTGTCCTTACTATTAAACTTTTCGACATAAAAGTGAATTATTAAAATGTATTCTTCAAAGAAGGGAATCTTTTCTGTGAAGGGTTTGTATATGTATGTGGGGGAGTCTGCATTAGGAAATTGTATCAATTTATCTCAATTTTATACTTAAAGGTTTCTTTTTAAAGAAATACTAAGACTGCTAAATAACAAAGATGGCTTATATTTATAATCATTTGCTTCATTTAATTCTCACGAACAGCACATGAGGCAGATTCAGTTACAATTTTCAGTTTACAGATGAGGAAACTCACACACAAACAGTTTAAGTTCATTGTTAGTTCATTATCTTTTCACAAATGTTTTTTCACAATTTGCCTTCAGAGTGCACATGTGAAAATTTATTTTCTTGTTTATAATTTCAAATTTTATTTTAGATTAAGGGATACATGCGCAGGTTTGTTACATACACAAATTTTTAATGATACTTAATTTACAATGTAGAGTTATTTAAGGGAGATTGCTACAATATCAAATGAGAAAAGATACTTTGTTTCACAGAGTTTAAGTCAAGCTTGTCCAACCCGTGACCTGGGAACCTCATGGCTCAAGACAGCTTTGAATGTGGCCCAAACCAAAGTCCTAGTTTCTTAAAATATTATGACTTCGTTTTGGCGATTTTTTTTTTAGCTCATCAGCTGTCATTAATGTTAGTGTATTTTATGTCACTAATGTGCCCTAGGGAAGCCAAAATACTGGACACTGCTCGTTAGTGTTAACTATGTATTTTTAGGATGATTTGAAAACTGGTCATGCTGTAGGCCAGTTGACCTTCAGATCACCTGAGTAGTCAGAATGATTCCTCAGTTGGTCAAGCCAGATGGAAGCATGCAGCCCATGTCAGCTGCTTCCCTCCCACTGTCACATCACATAACCTATTAACTAGCAACCTTTAAAAAAGTTTTTTTGACTCTTGTACAGTATTTCTCAGTGGGTACTAGCACTTGAGAAATAATTATCTTGCTTGCAGAGAGTATACCACTTATTCCAACAACTTCAGCCTTCCACTTGCTAAATACTAGGAATGACTTTCCTCAGTCCAAATTTGCAACTCTCCCTGCTAGAGAAGTTACCACCAAGCTGAGACCCATTGCACTAAGGAGAGAGTCAAGATCAGAGTTTTAGGAAACTATTTGTTAACTGACACATTTTGTCTCTTGAATTTGCAAAGGAGAGGAATACTCTTATTACATATAAAATCTAATTTATATTAAGAAATACTCCACAGAATGTAACTAAAAACAAAATATTCATGGAAATGGACATTGCTCCTGCCTCACATTTTAGATTTCACTTACTTTTTAGCTACAATATAATCGATTAATAAATTCCACAATTAGTTAAAAGAAAGGCAGAGAGAGTTAGCAACTTGGGCAATTGGGAAAACCAGACTAAAACTAATTTATATCAAATCCCAAAACTGAACACCTGGTGGATTAAGAAACAAGGGACTTATAACAAAGAATTGCTATTTCTCCGGTATAAATTGTGAAAACTTACAACTTTAGTATTTCATGCAATCTCTATTGGTATAACTGACCTTAAAAAGAAAAATGATAAGACATTACTATCACATAATATCTCACCTGAATGTATATTCATGTACCCCAGTATTTCTATTTTGTTTGTTTTTTCAGCTGTGAAAAATGATAGTTTCTTAAGGAAGAGATGCCACAATAGATGAAAGACCTTTTTACCCATGGTAAAGAAGCATAGAAAAGGCATTATGAATGATGTAGGAAGCTTAGGCAGATGAACGCTGCTATCAAATGTGACAGGCTCTCACAACAACAAAAACAGTAATCAATGCAATCATAACAATAAAATAATTTTTGTATTTCCTTCAAAAAGTTAAAATAATGGGCATCTTGTCTAAGTTAACAGTTGGATAATGTTGGCAAAAACAGGAAAAAGATAAGAGTCTCTATGTGCAACATATTAACGTTATCTAGAGCCACTACTCTACATATTTTTATTTTGCTTCAACTTTTCTTTAATGTCATCTATAACATTTTTTATTTGCTGTTCGTTTCTATGTTATTATTTTTCTTTATGATCTAATATTCTTGAACTGAGCTTCCTATTACTTGGCTTCCATAAATCCATAATCAGTTAAAATTGCATTATTTTAGCTTTCCACAGCATATAAAAAAATCTGCATTTGTTGTCGTTATTTTCCCTGTTGTAACAATACCATCACTCTTGCAACTTTAAACAACACTGCTGTATAAATATATGATCACTCCACTTGGTATTCAATGAAGCACCTTCATTAGGAGCCTTATCTCAGACAATGATGAAACATTGCACTGTGGAAAACGCCTTGTGTGGGAAACATTGCACAGAGACACATTAACTTTGTGATCAATGATGAACATCCCAGGCATTCACAAAGAAGTTAGTTTCACTACTCCTTGAAAGTGACCTCAGAGCACTTTCTGACTTACCACTTGGCATTCTTGCCCTGTCTCTTAAGGTTTAAGAGACTCCAGCTATTCCTTATGGGACCCTTTCACTAAAGCTCCATAAAATCAAAAACAAAACTAGTTTATTCACTGTATTTAATTTTCTTTCTAAGTAAGCTTTCTTTTTTTTTTTTTTTTTTTTTTTGAGACAGAGTTTCGCTCTTGTTACCCAGGCTGGAGTGCAATGGGGTGATCTCGGCTCACCACAACCTCCGCCTCCTGGGTTCAGGTAATTCTCCTGCCTCAGCCTCCTGAGTAGCTGGGATTACAGGCATGCGCCACCATGCCCAGCTAATTTTTTGTATTTTTAGTAGAGACGGGGTTTCACCATGTTGACCAGGTTGGTCTCGATCTCTCGACCTCGTGATCCACCCGCCTCGGCCTCCCAAAGTGCTGGGATTACAGGCGTGAGCCACCGTGCCCGGCCAATCCAGTGCACACATATGGGCCTCACCGGTTAAAATACACATTGTAACTTTGCTCTTTCATGGAAACATTTCTGAAGATCTAAGAGATGGGAGCTTTTCTTTACCAATAACTTTCTGCATGGATGCAAGATACATATGGTGTACCAAGTTCCTCTAATTCTGACCCAAGTTCAAAGAAGCCTCAAATTTTAACTTATTTTTGGTGGAGAATTTGTGTCAAGATACCAAGTGAAGTCTCTTCACAAACACAGAACTTGCTAAGTCTGAGCATGAAAGGAAAACCCCAGGATTCAACGTGAAGCTACGTAGCCTGAGGTGTTTCAGAGTGGCTGAACAAAATACATTCCTTACAACCATCAGTGTAAATTGTTTGGGTTTTTTTGTGGGGGCCGGCAGGGAGGGGTTTCCTGTGAGTTTTGCCTTTGATTGGCCACATCAGTTACCAGTGATACCCATTCAGTGATACTGCAAGTGTATTAATTTTCTCGTGAGTGATTTTAGTATCTTGAAGTTAAGACGCCAAATTATAATGTTACTATTCCAAAGTGCAGACCTTCTAACTCATATTCAGAGGATAGTAATCTTGCAAATAGGAATGTACTCATAGTTTTTGATTCTAGGGTGGGAAGAGTTCGTGCTGGTAGTCTGCCAACCACGTGGCACTGCCTCTCCTGTTAAGGCTTCGGTTTGTTGGTCTAAAATGAACATTTTTAACTAGATGATCTCCAGGCTGTTTTCAGTTCTGACATTCTTTTATTCTATGATTCATTATATGATTTTATGGATAAATCTCCAAGCCGCTTACCTTTTTCTTTGCTTTATAATATCCTCCTTAAAAATGAAAAAGCACATGGTTTTACCTTTGCAAACTCTCATGTCTTGTCCTTAAAAGTCTAACAGATTAATAATTGTGTATATCAGTTTTCCCATACCTGCTGCAAAAATATGTAATTGCTGCATGATGTAAAAGTTTTCCTTATTTTAAGCACTAATAGAGATAGCCCTACAGTAAAAGCATTGCTCCTGGGATGCAGTACGTATCAGATCTCATCGTGGCTATTTTCTGTGTGCCTGTAACTACGTGGGCATGGATTCTGCAAATAAACAACATCAATGACTAGCATTAAAATTCGTTTTATTATTCAGTAGCATAGCTTTATGTCCTAAATGTAGCTTTAGAAATTTTATCTAGTACTCTGATGCTTCTAACCCTCTTTAATTGTAACTAGTTGACTAGATTTCTTTTCAGGAAACTAGGTTGATTTTATAAATGTGTGAGTAAAACTGCATTCCATCCCTTTAATTTTATAACTTCTTTATAAAATTTGATGTCTTTCTTGATTTTAGGTTTTATTCTATGTAAATGATCAACAGTTTTCCATAAAGAAGACTTTGATTAATGTCAATTTTTATCTCTTAAAAGGATCCTTCCCGGCCATTGGGGTGGAGGCGCTTTGCCCCAGCTTCCTGAGGGCAGGGTTTTTAAATAGCATCCAGGCCCCGCATCCAGTGCCAGGGGGAGGATCTTTGCCCCCCAGGATTCCTGCTGGTAGGTATTTCAGGTGATGTTTTCTGCCACCACATACAGAAGTAGGACTGAGCTCATAGTTAATAGGCCCAAAATACAAAATGAATATTTCTTAAATATATTGTGGAAAAGAAATATAAGTGAATTCTTAAATGCAGGGACCACATTTACAATACCTGCTGTGAAAATGACACAAAGGAAGTGGAAGAAGGATTTGGACTCTGAGCACCCAGTTCACACAGTGCCACCACCTATTCTCAGAAAATTTGTACTTATGTAATAATTGGAGCTTCAGATCCAAAATCTGTAAATCAAGAATAAACAAGGATGGACATCAGACACTTTGCCACTTGGAATTGCCAGAAAAGTGGATTAAAAATTAAGTGTTCTTGACAGAAAGAGTAATTTCATGGAGTTGATAGAGACTTAATTAAAGTATCCTTTCATTATAGAAAAATGATTTGAAGAAACCAGAAAGTAGCAACCTGAAAGACATTTTTAGAATAAAACTTAATATGCATTCCTTCCTAAAAATGCCAGTCTGACCAAAGCCATATATTATTGAAACAGAATATACAATTGAGCATTTAAAAATGCAATTTCAAATTTCCTAAAACACTCTGCAGACTATCCATGACATGAGTGTAATTATAATTTGTTTTTTCCCTGTCATTTGGTAAAACATTCAGCTGCCTTCCTTCACTGTGCCTGAAGGATGCAATCTCACTTTACATTTCAATGTGTCTTAGCAAAATGGAGTTTGAATACTGATTCTTGGAGTTTTAAAATCATAACTCTTGTGATTTTTATTACAACTAATAATGATACTAAATATATTGTAATGACATCACCGTATTCAGGAGATCTGGCCCAGCCTGCAATTTAATGGGAACACTTGAAAGGACTAGGAAATCCAACACAAACAAAAACCCCAACAATGCACATTTCTTGTCCTTGATAGCGTAATTATACCAACAAATCTCAGGATATTATACACTGATATTTTCCCTTTGCCTTTCAGTTACTCTTTTCCACTTTATTAAAACATAAATATGCTTTGATGTCATTTAGCTTCATTACTACATAATTTATCGATGTGGTTAGATACTTTGCGGCCAAGAACACCACTGATAGAGTAGAAACCAAAATTACACAAATTAAAAGATTATAAATATGCACTTTGTTGGGTGTCATGTTACCCTTTTTCTCCCTAGAGACAGAAATTATACCAATTGTACAGAAAGTTGTTGTTGATACTGTGGCAAAGGATTAGAAAAAAAACTATATAAGCCAAGCTCTGAGTTCACTGCCAATATAAACATGTAGTTTCATATATAATTAATGTCTCAGTGATTGGAATTTAGAAGGCGAGCAGATTATGTGGAGTTTAATGGCCTAACCCTTAACTCGTAATGACAAATCTTGGTCAAGTCAGATATGTTTGGCAGAAATGACATTAGAAAGTTTAGTAGTGACTTGAATTATTCAATATCACTGTTAGAAAACCAAAAAAACAACAAAAACACTTGTCGTTTAGCTACTGAGAATGACGGAAGCAAAATGATTGTTCTCTAACACATACAGAAACAACTTTCCAGAGAGGGCTCTAAAGAACATTCTCACACTCTATTCTTCTAGGCTTTAAGCCAGATTTGCCTCGAGCTTTCATAGGAGAGAAACTCAGTTCAGTTTTCATGACTTACATACAAATCAGGTGTAACAAAATTGCTTCATAAAAAATTTATAGCTCTAAACTTGTCCCTGTTTCTGCAAACTGAAATTAAGTCGACACACTTTTCCTGGCTTATATCATTTTGATAAGTCATTTCTGTACATTTTGTGTGATGCTTTTTGGTAATGACTGCTACTATTTCAAAGTTTTTTTTAATCCTTTCTTGTTCAACTATAGCTTATTTCCCAAGGTTTTTTAAAAATTTTGTGTAGAGTGGAATGAAGCAGTAATCATGAGAAGTTTTTATTGTTTTACATTTTTTTTAAAAGACTGAGGTGTTTCTTTGCCATCTAACAGGTGAACTAATACACTTCAGACATCAATTTGAAGGCAGCAAGTGGGTCCTCCAACAGCCCACATGACGACACTTTAAATACTCGGCTGAAGGTTGATGCATACTAGACAGCAGTTAACTCACTTTCAACCAATTGATTACCTGTCACGGTACTTTGAGTGCCACATAAGACATTCTCTGTATCAGTCAGGAAATTTAAATACCTGTTCTAGTGCTAATTTATTTGCCAGTTATCATAATCAAATTTAAAAGAGATACATGACTATGTCTTGTATATAATAGGTTTTTGCTTCATGTCACACTGTGCTATTAAAAAGCAATATTTCTACACTACTTACTTTTACACTAACTATAATAATAAGAGATTCATTGAATCATGGGACCCAGAAAGCAGACAAGCCTTAAATTGGTATTTATGCAACAGTTGTCAACTGTTTATAAGTTTTTCATTTCTGAAAAAGTCATAGTAAAGGGTTATTATTCTTAGTTTCAGATGGAGGAAAACACCAGGAAGTAATAGCTGTAAACTGAGTACAAGTATATTAATATATTTAATGGAATGCATGTGTACAGTAGTCACCTGATACAGGAAGACATCACAGGAGGCCAGGGGTGGTGGCTCACTCCTGTAATCCCAGCACCTTGGGAGGCTGTGGCTGGTGGATCACCTGAGGTCAGGAGTTTGTGACCAGTCTGGCCAACATAGTGAAAAGCTGTCTCTACTAAAAATACAAAAAATTAGTTTGGCATGGTGGCGGGTAATCCCAGCTACTTGGGAGGCTAAGGCAGGAGAATCATTTGAGCCCAGGAGGTGGAGGTTGCAGTGAGCTGAGATGGTGCCACTACACCCCAGCCTGGGCAACAAGAGCCAAAGAGTCAACAAATAATATGTTAAGGTTGAATGTGTTTGTCTCTAAATAAATAAATAAATAAAAAGAAAATCACAGGAGAGAAGAGGAGAGGAGAGGAAAGGGAAGGAGAGAAGAAAGGGGAAAATAAAGGGAAAAAGGATGTGGAAGGAGAAGAGAAATTAGAAATGGCATGACTCTTAAATTATATTTTTTTAAAGGAGAGTCTTCCTCCACTATATTTATTCCTATTTAAATCAAATTCTACCTCCCTGAAAAGAATTTGTCTCTTTTTTAAGTATGTTATCAGGCATATTCTCTAAAACAATAACTTTGCTTTCTTTGCTCCATGTAGTCATTTATTTAACTTAATTATATGGTCAATCAGTATTTGAAAGTGGTTTAGAACATTTATTATATGCCATAGAATATTGAGTCTATATACTCTTAGGCTAGTTGATCACGTGACGACAGAATCCACCTCTACCCAAATCCTCTATATTTTTGGCAGTTTGACGTTTGCCATACACAAATGATAGAAGAATAATAAAGCATTAAAAATAAAATTCTGCATTAATAACTTATGGAAATTTCATAAATTCACTTCTCTGTCACTTCTCAGCAATAACTATCTGACATCATATGGTATCTTAAATCTACATAAAATACAACCATTACAATGTCTCTCAAAAATTAGACCTACCTATAAGATGTAAAGGCGTGTTTATTATCTGCTAATGACTCAACAAATAATATGTTAAGGTTGAATGTGTTTGTCAGCAGAATTTAACTTACATTTTTCGGTTAGTTTTCTATCAGTTGAGAGACTTGATAATATTTTCCCTAATGAAGAAACTCATATATATATGGATATATATATCTATAACATAACTCATATATATATAAACTCATATATATAAACCTTAAACTAACATAACTCATATATATACATATATGAAACTAACATAACTCATATATATAAACTCATATATATAGAAACTCATATATATATAAACCTTAAACTAACATAACTCATATATATACATATATGAAACTAATATAACTCACATATATATATGAAACTAACTTAACTCATGTATATATATAAACTCATATATATATAAACCTTCAACTAACATAACTCATATATATACATATATGAAACTAATATAACTCATATATATATGAAACTAACATAACATATATATATAAACTCATATATATATGAGTTATGTTAGTTTCATATATGTATATATATGAGTTATGTTAGTTGAAGGTTTATATATATGAGTTATGTTTAATGTTTATATATATATGAGTTATGTTCGTTTCATATATATGAGTTATGTTTAAGGTTTATATATATATGAGTTATGTTAGTTTAAGGTCTACACTTGAGTTTGGTCTAGCATCTATTCTATATATATGGAATAGATATATATGTTTATATACCAGACTGGATTATAGATATATAGAGATATATATATAGAGAGAGAGAGACATATGGAATCTATCTTTCTATCTATCTATCTATATGGAATTCCATATATATATATATCGATATATATATGGAACAGATGCTAGACCAAACTCAAATGTAGACCTTAAACTAACAAGTTTTGTCAGTTATAAGAGAAGTCTATGAAAGAGAGAACTAGGAAACAGGCAACATGTGGGATTTAGAAGCAGACAAGTTGTGGGGAATAAAATCAGTGTTGAATAGCTCCCTAATGCTTCCTTTGTGGTTAGAAGCTCTTCAGTTATTGAAGCAACATTCTTCTAGATACCTTCTCAGTTTGCCTGCCTGTGCTTTAGGTACAGTGCTGTATGTAATACACCTAGTCTGACATTTTTACCTGAGCTTCCCTTCATTCTATGACTTGTGTTAGGTTCAAAGGAAAAGGCAAAGATGTAGTGACACTTCCTCTCTGCTACTCTGAATCAAATAACAGGACAATTATGAACACATGAGTATTCAAAAACTAGATTTGCAATTATTGAATATGTAATTAAGAATAATGTTTAATACTATTTCTTTATCCTTTAGAAAGAGATTTGGATGAGCCTTATACTCAAATATCAAACACCTTCACATCCCACTGCTATTCTTTGAGGAGCGATGTTAGAAAATGGATCAACAACCCAG